TGGTCTGCCACACGAGCAAGGATGAGGTCGAGTTTTTCATCGCTCGTCAAGGTATCCTCTCAAAGTCCACCCGTGTATGTAAACTCGTCTTGCATGATGGACTCAGGAAAGAAAACTCGGTCCTCTATAACTTGACTGTGCTCCACTAAGTTCGCAACCTCGCCATCAAGATTGCTCCTATGGGCTGCCTAAGATTACAAAAGAGCGAGAGCCCGATCAAGTTTTTTATTGTAGGCGGCCTCTTTTTCACGAACTACTTTGGATTCTATAAAATCAAGAATCTGGTCGAGCTTCTCGTTAAACTTGTTGGACTCATGCGTCTGCTCGACCAGAAATTAGTTCCAGCACTGCTCCGAAGAGTATGGGTGCGATTGGGTGTAGTACCCGGCACAATAACTCGACTCACTATTCCAAGAGGGGTAGTGCGGGGAGGAATACTCGTGATTGAAATTCATATCCCTGCACAACAGAACAAAACAACCCAACGTAGCCACGAAAAAGAGAAGAAGAAAAAGACACAAAATAGAAAAACAAAAATGCAGAGAAAGAACAAAAATACTAAAAATGCAAAAATAAAGAGAAACACATAAAATAAAATCAATACCAAGACCAAATATCCTACTTGCCTTCCCCGGCAACGGCGCCAAGTTTGTTGTGTACAAATTATTTTTTTTACCGAGTACCGAATCGAATGATTCGTTCCCCGGGTCGATCTCTCGAGGAAGGTTGTTCGGAATTTAGCTTTGATATTGATAGCACACAAAAGAAAAAGAAATCCTAAACACTCTAATCCAATAGGAGGAATGAGCAATTACCAACTAATAAATAATGAAAGCAATAATTTACCTAAGAATAAAAATGAAACGAAGATGGAAAAGCTAGGGAGTCGGGGATAATTAATTCAAGTTTTTAGCACAACGGGGCAATTGATTATTCGGTTCGAAATTGACACTCTCGCCTAAACATCTAGCGGTTCGCTCCCAATAACTCTTCGTAACAAGGGATTGAACATAGACGAGCAAGTTCGAGCACACAACACCAGTCAATTATCCAATCTCAATAACTTTTCGTAACAAGGGATAAGACACCGACAAGCATGTATTTCAATCCAAACCCATAGATGATTTAGTTACGAAATTATCTATCTCATGTAAGCCTAGGTCTACGACTTCTCCCCTTTCAGTTCAAAAACTCGCTAAGTTAACTAGAAGGTGTTTAATCAACTAGTCATATAGAATCAACAGAACCAAACTCAACAATTCAATATCTAATCGTTTCCAATCACAAGATCGAACTGTCACCCTTCGATTATATCGAACTATCAAACACAATTTCATCAATTCTGAATTAAATCAACTCACACAAGTATCAACAATTCAAGCCCGAGAGATACAATTCAAACAAGAATATTCATCCCCTATCCCTAGCAATAGGAATTAGCTAAGCAACATAAATCAAACACAATTCGTCATCTCTCTCAATTCAATCATTCACATGAATTAAAAATAAAGAGAAGACTTACAATTAATCGCAATTCCAATGTTGAATCCAATAATACAAAGCTTAATCCAATGAAAAGAAGAAGAGAATTGGAGAAGAAAGATTAAAGGAAGAGGAAAAACGATGGAGAAGAAGAAGAAGAAGAAGGAAGGGGAAGAGAGGAAGAGAGTTCGTGCTTTCTCGGGACCTAGGGTTTGCACCCCGGTCGAGAGTTGTGTTTTCTCCAGAGAAATCTCCCTAAATATAAAGTCTGGTCCCCTCCCATTATGCCCTCAGTTCGAAGTAAAAGCTATTCCAATTCAAAATCCACGAAAATCGCGACTGTTACAAATCAGGGCATAACGCCGCTATGGCCATAGCGCCGCTAAGGGTGGAGATGCTCGAGCCTCTGCCCATCACTTTGCTGTGTAGCGCCGCTAGCTGGGTTGGCCATAGCGGCGCTATCTTGGGCAGCTCTGCATGAATTTACGGTTTGGGCTCGTTCGGGCTCGTCCGACATCGGAATTCGATTCCGCTTTTTGCTGTGCGTTCCCAACGAGCTCCTCTATTTATTTACTCTTGTCCGAATAATTTTTGCATAAAATTTGGTCCTCCCGAGGCTTCCAACCTACACACCAAAAGCAAAGGAAAACCAGAAAAACATACGGAAAACACAAGAAAAATCGAAAAAGATCAAATCACGCAATAAACTAAGAAAATGAATAAAACCCAACGAAAAGTCTCAATATGTGGGAAAAAGAAATACAAAAAGACAACGAAAAATGCAACGAAAATGGGACAAACACCATCGTTAGATCAATTATCAAATAAATGAATATAAAAAACTTATTTATCAAATAACATATTATTAACTCAATTATCAAATAAAAAAGTATTGTTAACTCGGCATTTATCAGCTGTCAAATAACTTGTTAACTCAATTATTAAATTCAAGTGATCTTTAAAATGGAAAAATAAAATAATGAAAGAAATATTAGTGTGATCTTTAAATTCTAAACCAATTTGGCAATGAAAGATAGATTGGTGTGTGGCAATGATGTAAAATGAAAAAAAAAATATTTATGACACTTTCTAAGCTAATTTTGTTTCCATGTTTGTTATTTGAACCTAAATACAAAGCGTGATATTGTGACATGCAGGACTCTAAAGCGTGTGCGTCTGCCACCTAGACTCAACACATTTTGAATTGATATTTACGGAGCTGTGATTAGTAAGAATGATTGGTTGATGTTATTTAATTATATTGATAATATTGAGGATTATGAGGTTGCGTTAAATTCGAGTTTTGATTTGATTTTTGTGGCTAAGTTTATAACCAATCACACACATTTTAAGTGAGAATTTGACTTTATATTAAAATTTTAAAATAAAATAATTAAAATTAATTTGATCTAAAAGTAAAAGAGAGATAATGTGAAATGATGATTGTTGAGATATGTGAGGATCTCGTTATGTACAAATCACGAACTCAATAGCAAACGTAAACCTATGCACAACGGATCTAAATATTTGACGTAGAAAACTTACGGCTTAAAATTTATGGCGATCTGGCTGATCTTCAAAGGTATTGAATTGACCGGGATGAGCACATGAACAAGATAGAATCACAAACGGAACGTCGAGCTCGCAATCGGATCGAGACGTGTGAGGTCAGGTCACCGGATCGGATCGGCCGAGTCATCCGTGGGGCGCGTCGCGGGTCTTGGTTGCATTGCAGTGCTTGGTCGTGGAGGCGTGTGGCGTCGCGGCTGGGCTAGGCAGTCCTCCGGCTGCTTCACGGCACCAGACGGCGGGCTGGGGTCGGCGGTCGCAGCCTTCGGGTCGCGGCTTATGGCTCATGTTTATCTCCAAGGTTGATGAATATATTTATCTCAATAAACCACGGGATCTATTGTATATCTCAAACACCCTTCTTCAACTTGTACCAGTGGAGCAACAAGAAGAAGATAAAACTCGAATGAAAACTGAGAGAGAGAGATGAAGTGAGGCACCGGGAGGGGGGGGGTGCGACCGATTTTATGTGTATGGAATAATGTTCCAACTCTTCTCTTCCCATGAGCTTAATGGTGTACAACGAGCAATGTATGTAAATTTTTTTATTAGAAAGATAGTTTTTAAAATAGGCAAATTTGCCCCTAATTTTACGACCTTTATCGAAGTTGTAATTTAATCATAACATTTTCACTTTTGCAAGTTACATCACAATCTTTAGTTTGTTGCAAATAGTCATAGAAAAGCTGATGTGGTCGAACAACAAACTGAAGATTGTGATATAGTTTGCACAGGATCTGCATATCGGTCCACCAATTTGCAACAAACTGAATTGTGATATGATTTGCAAAAGTGAAAAAGTCGCGATTAAATTGCAATTTCGAAAAAGGTCATGATATTAAGGGCAATTTTGCCTTTAAAATATTCAAGGTTAAACTGTTGATATTTTTGCTAATTTTTTTTTTAAATATTCTAGGCTAAAGTGTTACTTATATTTTTTTAGATTGTTTACAATTGCCTACATGAACTTGTTCCAATACATAAAAAATCGAAGAAACCAAGAATCGATTGTAGCGTTTTTGGATTTAATATTTGAACAACTAATTACATTATTTTTATTTTTTTTCTAATTTGATTCGGTTCGTCTTTCCAATTTCAATTGTAATTCCATTTTTCTTAATACAAATAAAATTATATAAACACATACATATATAACCAAAGTATAGTTATACAAAACATTTTCGGTTCATTACAACCCAACTAATAGAAAATGAAAGAAATATATAAAAAAAAAAAAACTTTTTTTTTTTCTTTTTCCAAAACGATAGATAATATTATAAATCAAAATGCACAAATGTGCAAATACACAGCAGCCAACAACTGAAAAAGAGGGAGGACATGTCAGAACACCGCCTAGAATCCCGGCTAGCAACGCTAGAATAAAAACACTCGCAGCTAAACTAACCGACAACACAAACAACTAAAACAAACTACAAGGACCCCAACAGGGTAATACCCGAGTGTCGTATGAATATAGTTTTTTTTTTTTTACTTTTTTTTTTTAACTTTTACTCACCATACAGACAACCAATTTAGCCTAAATTGTTCCTTAACTATCCATTGAAATGCGTCATGGAAGGTGTAGCGAAAAAGTTGCCAGTAGTTTAGTGGATTAGGATTTGAGAACTTCTCTTACAACCACAAACAAACTAATCTTATATCCTATTTTTCAGAGAGAATAAAATAATTCAAAGAGTGATGCATGTCATTTTCATACATTCCATCTCTTTTCCCCCTCTTTCACTATACCATGCACATTTTATTTCTCACATTCCCTCGAAAACAAAATCATCAGACATAAATCTGATAAACCCACACCCATGATCCTCTTCATGGTCCCAACGTTAATAATAACAACATTGATTTCAGGTTGTTGGTTATTTAGTCCAACAGAGGGCGTGATTGGGATAAATTGGGGCCGACAAACGACTCACAGGTTGATCCCGTCCATGGTGGCGGACTTGTTGCTGCAGAACGACATTCGTCACTTGAAGCTCTTTAGCAACAGCAACAATGTCCTAAAGGCCTTTGCCTCGACTGGCATTGCCGTCACCGTAACGTTGCCGAATGAAGCCCTTACCAACATTAAATATCCCCTCATGGCCACTTATTATTTGCAAGAGGCGGTTCTTCGCTACAGAAATCAGGATGTTGACATAAGGTTTAATAGTAACTATGCACATATACTTATTTTTGAATTAATAACCAAATATGTATTATTTAATTTCTCCGAATTAACTATGAATATTACCCCCAAAATCAATCAGGTGCCTTCACGTTGGAAGCGAACCATTCTCGACATACGCTCTTAAGAAAACGTACGACAATGCTCCAATTGCATTGAAATTGATTCAAGACGCGATTGTGGCAAATGGGTACAATAACCTAACGGCAACCATGTCCCACTTCACGGACGTGCTGACCCCGAACATATCAAAGCCATCAGAAGCCGACTTTCGTCCTGATTTAAGAGATAAAATGGTCGAGATTGTTCGACTTCTCAACGCCAGCAATGCCCCTTTCGTCATCAACATGTTCCCCATCTTCTCTCTCATGGACCTCAACATCAACGATACCGAGTTTGCATTCATCGACAACAACTCAAATTTTACAGTCGAGGACAACGGCTTGATCTACCGCAATGTATTCGAGTTTATGTATGATTCAGTCCTTCACGCGCTCGCGAAAGCTGGGTCACCAGGTAGATTAACAACGGGCTACACTACTTTTAATTAGTTGTTTGGTTCTTTTAGTTTTTATTAGAGTTATAGATTTGGGGGAAGAGGGTATGGTTCCATAGGAATAAAGGACGCCATATAAGGGTGAGCCTAAGTGCCCCTTAGTGAGGTTCTATTTGAAAACCAACTGGTGATGAAAGGAGTAGTCCACTGGACTTATAAACTAGGTTTATCTACCCTATAAAATCAATGTGGGATAAATCATAAGTGATACTCAAACTGTTTTCAACGAATTTCTCAATGATATGTCCTAGCACAGGTTTGAAGCTTCAGGTGGGTAAGATTGGGTGGCCCACAGACGGGTACCCGAGCGCAAATATTACGAATGCCGAGAGGTTTCATCGAGCGTTTCTACCTTACATCAAGAGCAACAAAGGTACCCCACTCCGCCCGGGGATTTCCATTGACGTTTACATCCACTCGCTCGTCGATGAAAACAAAAATAAAGTCAACCTCGCTGCTTTTCAACGTCATTGGGGGATTTATTGGACCAACGGGCAGCCCAAGTACAAGATTGACTTTAGGGGAAATGGACGGGACATCTTCCCGACCACCGCCAAAGGCCTCATCCGCATGCCTCAGAGGTGGTGCATTTATAACGAGGATAAGAGCAACCTAACCAAGGTAAAGTTTGAACTCGACAAAGCTTGTGAAAATGCCGACTGCACGACTCTTTCCCCGGGAGGTTCTTGCAGCCACCTAGACTTCAACAAGAACGTCTCATACGCATTCAACATGGCCTTCCAAGCCAGCGCACAGGACGATGACATTAAGGGGGTGACGTGCGATTTTGATGGGCTCGGTGTTTTGGTGCCCGACGACCCGTCCAATGGAACGTGTAAGTTCCCGGTTGAGATTCTAGCGGCGGAGAAAGCGGATAGAGATGGGATCACCAGTAACCATGGAGAAATTACCAAGAAATTGAGTTTATGTGAAACTACGGCATGGCTAGTATTGTCTGTGTTATTCAATTTCTTATTGGGGATTGGTTAGGGGATAAGCTTATATATATTGCACCAAATATCATCATGCATATAATGCATGATCTATAAGGTGTTGCTCCCATTGTAACATCATTTCAATAAATCAAATAATAATAATACTAATAATAATAATAATGAAAGGGGAAAAAATAAGGGACTAACAACTACATAACTAAGGTTCAATAGATCACACACTTATATATAAAGGATTAATGTGGACAATTTTTCATCACAAAAAAATGCTTACTTTAATTCAAGAAAAATGCAACATGACTATTATAAAATGTGTGAAGGAAAAATTGTATGATTGAAATGAAGAAGATGAAACAAAATCGTGTAACTGAATCCCACTAATTTAAAGACAAAGAAACAAACATTGTTACTTTTTTACAAGAAAGCAAGATAACATCGATTAACTTACAAAGTGGTAATGGTGCTTTTTAGCACTTAAGTGAAAGCACAAATGAAATGTAGCCAGTTTTTTAGGAAAAATGAAATCTAGCCATTTTGCTAGGTAAAAGTACATAATTGC